AATTGCAGTACCTAAGAAGGGAAGTGCAGTATATGTTGGACAATGACATTGTTGAACCTAGTAAAAGTAATTGGAGCTCACCGTGTATTCTTGTACCAAAACAGGACGGTTCCTACCGATTATGTACAGACTTTAGAAAGGTGAATTCTGTTACCAAAACTGATTCATATCCAATACCTAGAATCGATGACTGTATTGACAACATTGGAAACGCGAAATTTGTCAGTAAATTTGACCTGTTGAAAGGCTACTGGCAAGTACCGTTAACAGAAAGAGCAAAAGAAATATCTGCTTTTGCTACACCAGATGGACTTTACCAGTATAAAGTAATGCCTTTTGGCATGAAAAACGCACCGGCTACATTCCAAAGGATGATTCACTCCCTTCTTCAAGACCTTGAGGGATGCGAGGCCTACATTGATGATGTCATCATATACAGCGACACATGGGACGAACATCTCCGAATCATGCGTGCTTTATTTGACATTTTAGCTAAAGCAAACTTAACTGTGAACCTTGAGAAGAGCGAATTTTGTCATGCCTATGTAGAGTATTTAGGTCATAAAGTAGGTCAAGGTTATGTTACACCTATTATGGCTAAAGTGGAAGCTATTGCAAAGTTCCCGATTCCTACAAACAAGAAAGAGTTAATGAGGTTTTTGGGCATGGCTGGGTTTTACAGAAAATTTTGTCCAGATTTTTCCTCAGTTGTAAGTCCACTTACAAATCTTTTACAAAAGAGGGTTAATTTTGAATGGACAAAGGACTGTGAAAAATCCTTCCATAAAATCAAATCTGTCCTTATGAGCAACCCAGTTCTGTCAACTCCAGATTTTTCCAAGCAATTTAAGCTTACTGTTGACGCTAGTGATGTTGGAATCGGGGCAGCTTTGTTTCAAGAACATAGTGATAATGTAGATAGAGTTGTTTCTTATTTTTAAAAGAAACATAAAAAAAGTCAACAAAAGTATTACACCAATTAAAAGGAATGCCTTGCTTTGTTGTTAGCCTTACAGCATTTTGATGTTTATCTGAATGTTACTTTGCATCCAATTCTTGTATATACGGATCACAACCCCCTGACATTTTTGCATAAATTGTCAAACAAGAATCAAAGACTGACTAGATGGAGTTTGTTGTTACAAGAATACAACATAACAATTAAGCATATCAAAGGCAAAGACAATGTTATTGCAGATGCATTGTCCAGAGTGTCATGAACAAATTGGATTTTTGTGTTAATGTACATATGTTTTAATAATATAAGTTTTCATTGACATTAAAACTTTTTAAGGGGGGAGGTGTTGTGAGATGTGTATTGTTTCATTATGTATATAATTAGTAACATTAAGTTTCTTGAACATTCCAGAGTGGTCAATATGTTTGGTCATTTTTTTCTTTATTCATGTCCAGAACTTTCCAGTAATATCATGTACTTACAATTTCTAGATTCTAGATTTATGATACTGTATAAATACCCTGTCAATTCGATGCATAGATATAATTTGTCGTATAAGCATCATTGAGGTATTACTGGGATATATTTTCACTGGGACATTGTGTGCAGCAACGGACACTCTGATGTATGTATTTTTAGATTTTTGCTAAGTTTGTACTTAATGATTTGTATATTACTGTAAATAAATTATTGTTAAGTTTAAACTGTGTGATTGATCTTTGCTGGCATTTAGGGTTATTCTGACCCATAACAGAACTAAGACTTTACTTACTTTTGATAAAAAAAAATGTTCAATCTGGTGAAAGTTTTACATTAACAAGAGTTGTATATGTTCTGAATCATGAAAAAGTTCTAATAAATCAATATTGAATGCCGAAACATCTTATTTTTCCAGGGCATATATATATAAGAATATATATCTCTTGATATCTCTGTTAAATCTAAAAAAGGAGGTTAAGAATTCCTACCCAGGTATTGTTGCCTAATATTTAGAGTGTTTGTCTACTAGCCATGTTAAATATTTATGCATGATTTGTTCATATAATAGGAAATATTTTGTTATTCTTTGTTATTCGATTTCTGATCAAACTGCTGACGTCATTATTATCATTTTGTGCCTGCATCCTTATTTGTCATAAAACATTTTCATTTTCTTGATTGTTAATAATCTAGAGTAGATTTACGGAAGTTAAATTGTTTTTTATAGGCAGCTACAGACAAGGTCAATACTAAAGATTGTTCTTGTAGCAGTTAAGCAGGAACTTCATTGTGGCCGTGAGGATTTAGAGTTAGAGTGGTGTAAAGTGGCATTATAGCTAAGCAAACATATAGTGCATTAAGAAGCAATAGAGAGTTTCCAATCTGTGCTATCTAAAAATTTCTGTTCCAAATTATTTTTAATACTCGATGTACATCTGTTTTATTGTGATATTTTACTGTGTTGATTTCTTTCTAGCTTATAAGGATTTGTAAAATAGCTGATAGAGGGAGTATTTTATGGAATTATAAGTAGATAATAGGACTCTGTAACTGTTGTTGCTTGATCGATGGGTTACACATTTACTTGCAAAAATGTCACGCATGATCATTGTACCATTTGTCGTAATATATTTTATTATTTGTATGTTATAAACATACATTTGTCTCATTTACATTTTAGATGATGTCAGATTGTTTGGTGTAATTTTTTTTACATATAGATTTCACTTTACTGACACAAGTTAATAAACTGCTACTCCATCATTAACATTTTAAGGAGGCTGGTGAGTCAACAAATTAATCCCAAATTAACCACCAGATTTAACTTATTTTTTTACATATGGTATCTTTAGCTGTCAACTATCATATGACAAAGAAAAAATTCAAAGATTTTAGTTTTAATATTTGTATATTTTTATATGGAGCTCTCCTTTTAAAGGAGATCGAAATAGTTTAAAAATGGCTTCCACTCCCTAGCCTCGTTAAATTTTGTGTTGTCTAAAGGTTGCTTACGTTAAACATGCAATTTATACCTTATGTGTGTGTATAATTGCATCACAAGACAATACGAGGGGCGTTCAATAAATAATGTCATTAGCTCGATGACATACAACATAGTAGTCATACATGTATGACATAAAGCTTGACTTTCTCTCATTATTGAATCTTTAATGAATTTATAACAGTTTATGTGACCACTTTTCATCACATAGTTTTGTCGTGAGAAGCTGGGAAACAAGGGCTATTCGAGACAATGCATTATAAATGAAGGGTAAAGAATCAGTAAACTAGAGTGAAAATAAAAGCTACATTAAAGCTGCTGTAAAACTTGTGAAAAATCCCAAAGAAATATTCTCTGAAATACGTTGTATGTGACATTTACTGCAACCGATGCCTGTTTTATAGATAAATTAGCAGGTCAACGATAAAAAATTATATAATGAGTATCAAAAATGGGTACCCTCCTTGCCAAAAAAAATTATAACAACTTATGTACTGTTTGCCAAATTTCAACAAATTATATTTGATGTTGTATGAATGACTTTAAGACACATAGAATATTTGATAGACATCATATCGTGAGTAGTTTACACTGTTTTTAAGAAACGTTTGACAGTAATTAAACTTGGTACTCTAAGGTCACCCTGTATTTTGAAAAATAGGTGAAAACGACAGCGTGTACCAAAGTCTTAGCAATTATTTTACAATATCAGTAATTGTAGTAATCCACGTTTATTTTATATTCAAACAGATATTGAAACATGAATCTATTGCATTTAAACAAAATTTAACATAAGATGTACTTGATAAAAACGGCGAAGGTCTGTCAAGAGCAAAGGTCTGCAAGAGCAGAAAAACAGATTTATATGCAATTTTCTTAAATATTAGTGGTATTATTGTTCAAATTCGTATTCAGAGAGACAGTTTAATATCTGGAGGTGTCTACAAAGCAGTTTTTTTGCAAAGAAATCGAAAGATTTATCAGAGAAAGGACCCAGAATCAGGAATCCACTACATTGAATTTCTTCATGACAGCGTTTAAACTCGCATGCCCTAAAGAGTAAAGGGGTTTACGGGATAAACAGAAAGTTAATGTTTTTTCACATTAACAACATTTGCCAGATCTTTGACCTTTTGACTTGTTTCTATTTCCAAACTTGAAAAAAACACCTTTCATAAGGAAAAAACAAGTCCAGGATATCATTGGATCTGCCATTTTCCAGTATACTAAGGGTCATACCCAAAAAATGAGTTCTAAAAACAATAAGAAATTGGATAAAAAATGTAACGGACATGTGTTTGAATTAAAAGAGATTAATAAGTAAAATCATGAAGACTTAATCATTGAAAAGCGTCGTTTGCTTCTTTCTTAGCCCCAATGACATTATTTATTGAGCGCCCCTCGTATCTCCGGTCAACCGGGCACAGTTGCTGTGTGCTCCATATTATAATTCGGTAAAGAAAACAACTCTGTAAACAATATTCATTGTTCAGAGCGACAGTTCAGCTGCATATAATTGCTGCATAATAATTGTTTAACCTCTTCTATCTTTTGTAACAGTTTCAGTTTCCACTTTCTTATAAACTCCATGCTATTTTATATTGAAAAAATAATAGTGTTGATATTTATTTCAATTAACTTTCATTATATCCATCCATCTTTAAAAGTAATTGTTTTTAATATAAAAATTGTATGAATTTGTGCTTGTTGATTTCGGTACAATATCTTCATGTGGACAATTGAACCACAAATCTAAGATTTCCTGTGAAAGTGTCTGCATCAGTAATGAAACACATCAAAACCTTTGTCTAGGTAATCCATCATGACGTGGAAAGAGTAACTAAAAGAACAGCAGGAATGCATAAATTTTATTTATATGTCAGATTAAATTACAATCATAGCAACTTCTGAACATCATATGAAAACAACGTTACCATTCTTATCATATTATACTGAACTGCATATAATGAAATATCTATAACGGTTACTGGAAATTATTGATAATAAATTACAAATATTTATTTTCTTAATACGAGAGGCATTAGAATGATGTGCTGTCAAGTAATTGTATCTTTATTTTTCTTATATCATTAGTTTTCTAAAATTATTGATTCGAGTAAGATTTTTTTTATCTGGAGAAAGTGGGAAGTTGTTCAGATTCATATAAGAGTGAAATAATCGATGACATGTTAGTTTCAGTCTGATCCATTGATCATTACCACAGATAATGTTGTATCTGGAATGTTTGAGTACAGATGACCACCATCATATACTTGTATCCACACTCTGTCCCCAACCTGTAACTGGTGGACAACAAGGTTTGAGGCTGACTGATGGATATACGCAGAAGTTGGATGGACATAAGCCAAGACTCCTGCCTTTGGTGATCCATTAATCATTATTTGTGTATAAAATACTTGCTGATGTGCTGCCACATTAGTACAGAATATGATGTAGAGTCCAGTCTTTGGGGCAGTAAACACTCCTGTTGTAGGGTTGTATCCTCCTCCCACCTGGTATATGAATTTTGGAAATTTAACAATATCTCCACTTGCATATGTATGTTGCCCGTTTGTCTCTCCTAAAATTCCAGCTGTAAAAGCTACATTGGATTGAACACCTAGTAAAAATACACAAACAATAAAATGGAGTTCTATAATTGTCATGAATGGTAAATTGAAATTTTATAACAGGTTCATATCTCTGTGTAAAATTAATGCAACCAATTACCACAAACATGATATTGTATGATGTATGTCTATGTGTCAAAAATGTTTTTTTTAAAGTCATAGGTTCTGTAAGGTCTATTAAAAGGGAATGTTGCAAACTTGAATATCTTTTATTCAATTGAGGGTAGTGTTTGCAGTCTAATAATTATTGTTCATTTATTTATAGGAATTAGTATTATTTTGTAAAACAAAACAAAAAGTTTATCTTGAATGCATAAACCTGTACCGATTATTCAATAGTTTTATATACAATGTATTAAAAACATGAAATGTGTGAAACAGTTTAGGTTTTAAAGCTAATTATAACATTTTTACGTAAAATGACACTATGCATAGATCAATGAATTAACTATTTCTTTTATGTCCCTTTTCAAACATAGAAATAATGTAAAGTGGAGAAAGCATACATTTCGTGAGAGAACTCACATAAGGAGAAATTAGGTTTTCTTAAATTTTACAGTTTAGAAAACTAAGTGGGAGGAACCTCAGAAAAGAATTAAAATATGAATAAACCCCTTATCCCCCATTGCAAAAGAAAAATGAAATAAACTTTATTAACAGTTTTATCATTATCTTGTCTTGTATTTAAAAAAAAAATATTTTTCAGGACAAATAAGTCCCTTAATTAGTAAAAGTTGCTCTCTTATTACACTGTACTTATCGTTCTTTTCTGAACAAAAAGAAAAAAATAAGAGTAGGCATACGTACGATTTTTAAAATGGATAATTGTATTATTAAGTTGGGTGATCTCATTTTGCTGTGACTTTGTCAGTGCTTGGATCTCACTCTTCATTTGTTGCTTCTGTGCATCCAAACTGTAAAGAGATGTTGTTAGCCATGCTGATCGAGTTCATTCATGTCCACTTCACTTTATCAAATTAATATTGTCGACATTGCAACATGTGCAATCTAGACAATTTTAACACGATATATTGTTGAAATTGTTAGTACTTCTATATAATTTATTGACATTGACAACAAGGCAGTGTCGACAATGTTAAGCTTTTCGTGCATCATTATGATGTGATCGCATTGTTCACAATGTTTACGCGATATCGAATTTACATCCTCTATATTGATATTATTTCTACATTTAATGTCGACGTTCACATCGAATTGTATACAATGTTGATATGATTTCGAGTGTACTTCGTCTACAATGTTATAGTTTCCGTGTCAACATCGTCAACAACGCAATGTAATAAATGCTGATTTGAGACTGAGTTTTCATCGCGAACGTTGTGCTAAAGACGATGTAATTTATGTAAACAAGAAGAAAAGGTTTAATGTTTACAAGATGTTGACTTGATTTCGCCCAAAATTGCAATGTCGACACTGCTAACAATATAAACAAGAAAACAGAATGCAACGTTGAAACGATGTCGACTCAATATCGTCCAACATTGCGATGTCGACAATGTGAAGGATGTAAATGAACAAAAAAACTCTAAAAAGATTTCTACTCGATATAGTCAGTGGCGGATCCAGAAATTTTGAAAAGGGGGGCCCGCCCAGTTTCAGGTCAGGGTAGGGTCCCACAGCCGCACCAAAAAACATTTCATGTATTAAATATTGTGTAATTTTTGGGACACAAAAGGGGGGCCCAGGCCCCCTGGCCCCCCTCTAAATCCGCCAGTGATAGTTTAACACTGCTATAGAGATAAACAAAGACTTTGTCCAACATTGCTATATCGACAATGTATTCAAAATAAGACAGTGCAAAGTCGACACATCACCTGACATTTGAATGTTAAAAATTGTTTCAATAGTTAAAGTTATGATAATAATAGAATGAGGAGCAATGCGGAAATGTGTTTCATGAATAGGAAGGTATATATACAAAGATGTCCATAATATCATTAAAGTATCATGCGCTCCGAGTACCTCGCTGTGTTATTGTGTACATCCAACAGAGAAAATGATAGATATCTGTCTCGTAGTTCCAGGTCTGTGATTGTGGCAGACATGTTGTTCATCATTTTGTCTTCAATGTGTTTGACTGTCTGCTCTATTTCAAATGTAAAGATGTTATCCAGCCTTCTTATGTCTTCTGAAGTAGACATATTGTGTTGTATAAGCATGGAAGTAGAATTCAAAATCTGAATCTGGTCTTTCAGCATTGTATTCTCTGGAAGTAAAAATGCTGTTGTTGAATTCAGTTTTTCATTTAAGCAAATATCATGCTGTGATGGATTGGTTGAAGAATTCAAGTTGTCTAGTCTTTCTTTCAAGATTTTGTTTTCACTTTCTAACAATGATATCTAAATTTGAGCTGTCTGATTCCGTTGCCTCAGTGTCTAAAACCCTTCCTCTAGTAACTTTTGTTGCTGTTCAAAACGCTGATTTTTTAGAGCTTGTTGTTTTTGATCCATCAATATAGAATCCAATACTCTTTCTAAATGAAGAAGTTGTTTGTACACATCAGGATCAGAATGTCCATTAGATGCCGACGCATTGGTTTGCCCTTGGAACAACAGACTCTCTGCTTCTAAAAATGTACATAGAAATACCATGAAGATGCTTGAAATCCAGTGCATTTTGGTAAACTGTAATGGAGCTCAGTCATTCAAACACGTTTAGCCAGATGATGTAGCTTTATCAAAAATAAAATTATTATCATCTGATAAAACAAAATCATATGTAATCCTTGATAATTGAAATCTTTGACCTATATCAAAAGCTCGGGTTATCATTCAGGTATTGCATTATCTAAAACTATTGATTTATTTACAATACATTACGTGAACTACATAAATGTTTAAGGAATGACTCTTAGATCAGTTTACGCTTTATAATCCGCTTCGCAGATTATTAAAAGCGTAAACTGACCAAACCAGGTTATAATCGAATAATTTGGCCAAGAATTAAAGTCATTCCTTATAATTTTAATTCTAAAATAATTAAACAACTGTGGGTGTAAAATTGTGCTGCTTTTTATGAGTTCAAATTTGCCGATTAATAATACATTCCTAGTTAGGAAGTGATGTGAAACAAGAGGAGATAATAACTGATACACAGATCTAGCAGCCTTGATGTTTGTTTTCATGAGGTAAGATCGAGCTACTATTTGAAGTTTAGGTTCATTTGTTAAATCTGGAATTTTTCATGAATCCAAAGGACTGAAAATGAGGGGATTGCATGGATATAGATGATTCAGCTGGTTGCAAAGGGGGTGTGTCCCCATACCAAACCGGATTATTGAGAAATATTTTGCGTTCCTTTTTGGAAGTCAACCAATGAGAGACTAGAATACAAACAAAAATTAATTATTAGAAAATGTTACTAATAAGATAACATTTTTCCCTATTTGATTTAAACAAGCGAATTCAAAGATTTGTGGTCCCCCGCTTTCAGTGTCTTAGTTGATGGAATGCCATTATTTTTGGCATATTGTGTCAAATATTAACGCCCTATCATATGTCATTAAAATGTAATTGTCATGTTCTAAATTTTGAATTTACCGGAATTTGATTCCCCATTGTTTCCCTCACTACCCCAAAGGGCCATGATTTGAATAATTTAAATCTTTAATACACGATGATGTTTACATATCAATATGGCTTAAAATAGCTTTTCTGATCTTGGGACTTTTCCTTTTATTTTTCAATGTAAAACTTTGATCCACCATTGTTGCCCCAACCTACCTTAGGGGGTTATGATTTGAACAAATTTAATTCTACCTTACCCCAAAATGCTTCCATATAAATACTAGTATCACTTATCAATAACCATGGCTTTGCTTTTCTTGAAAAGATTTAAAATATATTTTAATCTGACTACTATTTAGGGATAGTGCACGCAAAACACAACACTATTATATAAATAGTAGAGCATGGGTTATATAGAGCTAGAGACAAACTGACAGGAAGCATAATAATTTATAATGTGTGTATAATTGCATCACAATACTAAAGGACAAGATAGGGTATTGGCCGAATCAGGCCCTTTATTTGATTTTAAAATGAGAACACTGGTAAAATTGTGATAGTTTGTTGTTAAGAAGTTAAAATGAATCGATGCTTACTTTAAAACAAGCACTAATTTAGATTCAAAGCTAACTTTGAAGCAACTAGAGGGTGCAGAAGTAGGTCTTTTGCATTTTACAGAATTTCCTCAATTCTGGTGGAATTTCATCATATTCATCATTAAAAATAGAGCACAAGCTTGCCTATCTGAAATTTTTACACATAAACTGCATCTGATATGAGTGTATAAAATATATAAATTTTGGTAGATAGGCAAACGTGTGATCTATGTTAAACGAAACAAAATGCGCTGTAAAATCGATGAAAATTTGCATAAAAATGAGAAATTTCGAAAATTAACCTATTTCCTGACCTCACTGTGACCCCTGTATATTCTAAATCTTAGAACTAATACTCATTTTGTGGCAGGGACAATAGGTTTTTATGGATAAACTGTTGGATCATTCTGAAAGACATCCAAAGTCTGGGACCAAATACTGGTCTTACCCTATCTTGTTCTTAAATGATGTTATTTTCTCCCTCGTTTCACTCCTCCGCAAATAAATATTTTCTTGACTAATTTATTGAAAAACAAAGAAAAAGAATATACTGTAGGATTGTTGCGTTCGTTACAAATCGCATTTTTATTCCAAAACATACAAATCAAACTCAAAAAATTTTACAAAATAAACAATGCAAGGGCTGGGAGGGCAGGGAAAGCCAAAGACTTACTACAACCTGCGATTCTTTGTAACGAACGTCGCATTAATCGAACATTCCCCGGTAAAAGTATTTATAGTGAGCGCTAAACCGCTCGTGCATGAAAAACCAGTTTCTTTAGATACGAAGTTACACGGAGAATACCGAAGTAAAAACGTAAAGAAATAAATAGAGGAATGTCTTAAAATGAACAGTGGAAAAAGAAGGTGTACACATTATTGATAACAACATTAAGAGTATGTCTATTTTGAAGGTCGAAGTTGAAGGATTAGAACAAAATGACTTTAATTCAGGTCCATTACAAAATGTCATTTACAGCAACATGTAAACATTTAATGGATACAATATAATACTAAGAAATCATATCAGTAATATTGGAAACATCACATTTGGTGGTTTTTAGTGAATTTTTAATGTTCTTTCATATTCATTAGTTATCGGTTATTGTTGATTTAATTCAGTCGGCATTTTTTTCAATTTATGAAGTAAGTTTCGGTTTAGAATAAAATAAAGCACCAAAAGACCTTGTTGGTCTTAACCTGATCCATTGATCATGATCACAGAAAAGGTTGTTTCTGGAGAAGCTGAGTACAGATGACTACCACTAAAGACTTCTATCCAGACTCTGTCACCCACCTGTAACTGGTGGACAACAAGGTTGGAGGCTGATTGGTGGACATCTATATTAGATGATCCAACATAAGCCATGACTCCTGCCTTTATGGAACCATTAATCTTTATATATGTCCAGAAGGTTAATATGATCATCTGCCACATTAGTACAGAATATGAGGTAGAGTCCGGCCTTTGGGGCAGTGAATACATGTATTCCTGTTGTAGGGTTGTATCCTCCTCCAACCTGGTAAATGACTTTTGGGAATTTAATTGTACCTGTATATGTATGTTGCTGACTATACTCTCCTAAGATTCCAGCTGTGAAAGCTACATTGGATTGGACACCTAAAAATACACCAGACTTTAGAGTGCAGTTTTCCTTTGATTTGGTATTTAATATTTTATAACAGGTATATAGCTGTTAATAATTAGTGTAAAAATTACCATTCATTTATGATGTTGCATGGTTTTCATCTAATGCAAAAATATGCAATAGGTTATGTTAAGGCTACAAAGAATTTATTTGAAAATGTTTTCTTTGATCCATATTTCCTAGTAGTTGGTGTTTATTAAAATATCTTAAAGTTTCTTTAATAATATCAGATTTATTTTACTGTATCTTATTTTTGTGGTCATTTAGGAGTGTGAAAATCTAATATTCACAATAATGTAAATGTAGAAACAATTAAAAAAACTATGAATGTGTTAAATATTTCCTTGAGTTGTGGAAATCCACCATTTTACACATAATTTTTTTTTATTGCCCCAGCAGTATATGATTACATGAATGGCGCCAAGGTTGGGGAGCCCTGGACTCACCAAACTGACAAACAGAGGAATTTAAAGACATTACAGTGCATAATACATATACATAGAATATATATATGAAAAAAAATTATGAAATCTTATGATGTACATTGAAGTCATACTTTTAAGATGAAAAATATTTCCAAGAAATGACATTAACATCTCTATGATATATGATAATGCTGATCAAATGACTATTTACTTTATCGGGAAGTATATATGAACATGTTACATGGCACTATTATTTGTCAATGAACTAATTTCAATATGAACACTATAAATTCGACCAGGACAATTTTTTCAATGAAAAAAAAAAGACAACTAACAAATCCTTTCACACCACATTCATACAATATGTGTATGTATCGACAGATAAGTTATCAAAAAAAAAAAATGGATAGCATAGTGATTTTAAACAAGTACATAATTATTATAAGCATGTGCAAGAACAATTTTAACCATTAGAAAACAATGAGGAAAAAACACCCCATTTCTTTTCAAATATAGGCAAATCATTATTTTTTTTATACATAAATCTTTCAATTTTATAGTAATCACTAATTTCTTTTTTAGCTCCATCAATGGTTGGTAATGTCTTACAAAGTCTTTTCTTATAAATATGTCTTTTTACTATACATATTAAAAGGTTCAGTATAATATGGTATTTACCGTCTCTACCAAGTATAACATCTATAAGGTTTATTTCAATGTTCTGGTCAGTTTTATCATTTATCCATTCTACTAGATTATTCCATAGTATATCAACATATAAACATTCCCAAAACAAGTGGGTGATCGATTCAGGATGCATACCACAAAAAGTACAGAGATCAGAATTTACAATCCCTATTTTTTTTTAAATAAACATTAGTGCTCAAAATTCTATGAACAATTCGATAATGAAACCATCTAAGTTGCACATTTTCAGTGATACTAAAAATAATCTTATTATGAGTTTTCCACCACATTTGGTTTATATTCAAATCTAAAGCATTTTCCCATTTACTTTCATATTTAGGTTTATTCCATCTAGAAGAAATTAATATATCATAAAAATCTCTTGATCCCTTTTGACTCTTGAAAATTGTTTTGAAGAAACTGGGATAATAGGGAGAGTTATAAAGAACATCCTTAACAGTATAAGTTAAATTCAATTTTCTGACATTTTGTATGACACCATGAAATAGTGTAAAAGGGGTTGACAGATTATACACCTCACAGAATTCTTCAAAACTCATAAGCTGGCCATCAGGAAGAAACAAATCTTTTATGTACTTTACACCTTTTTCAGCCCAATGTTTAAAGTATATACAGTTGTTAAATATCTTAGTATTGTCATTGTACCAAAGAGGATCTAGCATAGACAAGCTGTCAGACTCGATTATATTTCTTAATTCGTAAAAAGCATCAAAAACATCTTTCCAAAAATGATTTGAAATTCTATTGGAAATTAATCTTGTAAAACTGTTACCATAACAGGGAAGGAATTCTACTTCTGGTGTTATACTATAAAGCAAAGTTTTCCATGCAGAAGCATTAACATTGCTAAACAATCTACGAATCCATGTAATTTTTAAACCCTTACAAAAATCTTTAACACTTATCATTCTTAAGCCACCTTTTTCATGGCACTGTATTATACAATTCTTTGCAACCTTAGGAGGTTTATTGCTCCAAATAAAATTAAAAAACATTTTCTCAAGGTCCTGTAAAAATTTAAGGGGAGGATTCGGCAAGGAAATTAACAGGTGGGTAATTTTAGGAAAAAATGATTGACTTTACTACTGTAATTTTGCCGGCCGTTGTCAACAGTCTTTTTGACCAAGAGCCCATTATTTTTTTCATTTCGACAAGTTAAGATTGGAAATTAAGTTCATTCATAGAATTTGGGTCCAAATCTACAGAATAAGTTATACCTAATACAGTGAATGGTTCCTGAGACCAATGGAGATTAAAATCTGAGCAAATATCAACCTTTTCTTGAGACATGGAGCCAATTTTTATGCATCTAGTTTTTTCAAAATTTGGTTTAAGACCAGAATATTTAGAAAACTGATCTACCAGTGATAGGGCGCAAGTAAGAGAGGCTTTTGTACCATCCAAAAGGATGACTGTATCATCTGCATATTGCAATAGTGTAAATTCATTTCTTTTAATAAAAATTCCTCTGATAGCAGGATTGTTTCTTATCATAATACCCATGATTTCAGCGCAAAGTACAAATAAATAGAGTGAAATGGGGTCCCCCTGTCTACAACCTCTTCCAATATCAAAAAATTCTGAAAATATGCCATGCTGGATTACACATAACTTTGCATTTGAAAACAACAATTTATTCCACTTTATGAACTTTTCACCAAAACCAAAGAATTGTAGAACTTTAAAAATAAATCTCCACGAAACTGAGTCAAATGCTTTCTCAAAATCAATCAGAAGAATAAGTCCTGGGATCTTTTCCTCATTACAATAGTGAATAACGTCATAGAGTAGTCTAGAATTTTCACCAATATATCTATCTTTAAGAAATCCCTTTTGGTTTTCATGAATAAGCGAGGGGAGAACACTTTTAATTCGTTCGGCTAAAACACTGGACAGCAACTTATAAGTAACATTGAGAAGAGAGATAGGTCTCCAATTTTTCAAGTATTCTCTGGGTTTATTTCCCTTTGGAATTACTGAGATTATGCCTTGAGTTTGAGTCATTGCTAAACATCATTTATCATAACTGCAATTAAATGAACTTATCAAAAATTTGCTTAAATCAGACCAAAAAAATTTCAAAAACTCTGTAGTGAATCCATCTGTTCCAGGGGTCTTGTTATTTTTCATTTTTTTCAAAGCATTTAAAATTTCAGACTGGGAGATACCATTATCTATTAGTGATTGTGTATCTGTGCTGAGTTTGGGAACTTTGCAATCTACTAAAACTGTGTTTAAATCAACATCAGTTAGTGAATCATCTACATTTTTATATAGATATTGATAGAAGTGTTTAAGATTGTCTAATATTTCTTTTTGATTTACAATTGAATTAATTCTACTATCAATAATTTTTGTTATATTTTTATTTAAATAGTTTCTTTTTTCTAGAGCACAAAAATATTTTGTTGGTTTTTCACCATCCTCAATCCATTTACGATGTGTTCGTATCAAAAGCCCTTCTAGTTCATATTTTCTAATATTTTCAAGTTCAACCTGTAGCTCATCCAGTAAATTTCCATAAATTTGTAGATGGTGCATGTTAAACATTTCATGCATAAATTTTACTTGCATTTGAAGAAGTTCTTTCTTTTTTTTCCTCTCTCTGGATTTTTTACTGGAAAAGCAGATTGCAAACTCTCTAATTTTCATTAAAATAATTTCTAGTAATAAATTATCGTCAATTGTTAGTGTTTTCACCTATCAAGTATTCTACCTGAGTATCAGAAATAATTTGTTTGACCTTCGTAACAAAATCAAGATCTTTCAACAGCGAATTATTAAAGCGCCAAAAGCCTTTTTCTTTAGAAAAATTGTCAAATCTTAGTTGAAGTTCAATTATTGAATGATCTGTTCTATAGCCTGGGAGGATATTTACCGTATCTAGTCTTAACATCAGTTCTTCTGATATTAAAAAGAAATCTAATCTAGCCTGCTTGATAGGAGATTTTTTAGCCCAAGAGAACATTTTTAGATCTGGATTGCAAACGCGCCATGGGTCAACTAAATTGAATCTATCCTTTAATTTTTCTACTTCAGATTTACTTTTTGTATTATTTTCACGCACATAGTTGTAACAATCAAGATCATAATCTTGTACAAGATTCCAGTCCCCACAGACTATAACAAAATCATCTTCAAAATCATCAATAATATTTGCAAGATCAATATAAAAATCTGGATTATCTTTGTTCGGGCCATATAGATTAATAGAATATCTATTGTCAATGAAGATACTTGAAACAATATAATTTCCAAGGGGATCAAGTTTGACTTTTGAAATTCTGGCTTCTACTTTGTCATTAAAAAGTGTTAAAATACCTCTTGAGTCACTGGACCCTGAACACATCAAAAAATCAAGTCCCCATTGAGAATAAACAATATCTCTCTCATTTTCTGTACAGTGTGTGTCTTGTAAGCAATGAAATGTTGCATTATGTTCCCTTAAATATTTAAAAACATCTTTCCTTTTACTGTGATCATGTAGCCCTCTAGAATTCATGGAAATAATTTTAAGCTTACTAGCCATACTCAGTATACAGATTCCAACAAGTATTCAACATACACATAATTACACATACACAAAGTTCAGTCATTATAGACTTCCTGCATACGCTTAGACGAAAACATTCCTGAAAAAAAGCGGAGAGAGAGAATTTAAAAACAAGATGTGTTTGTGAAACACTATGCGCCGGGCGTCAACAAAGTTCGAAAAAGCTATTTTTAGTATATAGGTCACAGTCAAGGTCACAAAGTCATTGACCTTGGTGTTGTTTGTAAGAACTTAATTAGTGGTGTATGCATACTAAATATGAAGTCCCTATCTCCTATGGTTCAAAAGTTATGGCAAAAAGTGGAAAAAGCTATATTTAGCATATAGGTCACAGTCAAGGTCACAAGGCCATTGACCTTGATGTCATTTGAAGGAACTTAATAGTGGAGTATGCATACTGAATATGAAGTTTCTAACTCTTATGGTTCAAAAGTTATGACAAACAGTTGAAAAAGCTATTTTTAGCATATAGGTCACAGTCAAGGTCACAAGGTCATTGACCTTGATGTCATTTGAAAGAACTTTATTAGAGGAGTATGCTTACTAAATATGAAGTCCCTATCTCCTATGATTCAAAAGTTGTAGAAAAAGCTATTTTTAGCATATAGGTCACAGTCAAGGTCACAAGGTCATTGACCTGATGTCATTTGAAAGAACTTTATTAGTGGAGTATGCATACTAAATATGAAGTCTCTATCTCTTACGGTTCAAAAGTTATGACAAACAGTTGAAAAAGTTACAAACAGACAGGACAAAAACAATATGCGCCCCGAAAAAATTCGGGCGCATAAAAAACAAAAAAGAAACACCATGTTATGTATAAGGGCTGCTTATGAGAAATAATTACAAGTCTGTATACTTCATCCAGGTCGTTTCAGCGGGCTTACGGTACTGTAGCTCCACGTCATTTTTCACCTCGATTATACGCGTTTTGAGACCGGATTGTCTATGTTAATATGCTTCTTGGGACAGGATACCACGTTTTTTCTTAAGATGGCTGGGTAAGTCTGTTCTCACAGCTATCCCTTTTGATAAGTTACTGTTCCTCGCCTTTGATAGTATGGCATTGCGGTATTCCATCCTGGCGAACTTCACGATTATGGCTTCTGGTGCCGACTCCTTATAAAAATTGGTGGTCATGTTGTTCGGGTTTCCCGGGATACGGTGAGTATTCTGGATAATCAATTGTCGGATGCTCTCCTCATCAATGCCTAATTTCTCAGTAAAAAACTTTCTGACAACTTCTGCAACGTTTTCTTTTTCACTTTTTTCCACACCATATCTAAGAACATTATACTTCCTAGACCTTGTTTCTTTGTAAATAATGTAATTCTTCAGCTCCTCGACTTCTGACTCTAGTTTCTCAACAGCTTTCAGTTTTGAGATGGAAGACTCCATGTCTGTAACCCGGTCGTCCTGATTTTGAACAGCTTTCTCAAGGTCGACCAGCTTTTGGTTAAATGCACAAAATTTGTCGTCGATGGATTTTTTTCATAGTAGTCAACCGCTCGTCAATGTTCTTCTCCATCGTTCTGAATAACTGTTTCATCAATTCCTTTAGGTCATTATTAGAAATATCCCCCTTCTCGCCTTCTCTGCACTTCCTGTGTCTTTTGACTCACTCGCTCGAATTTCCTCTGCTGAAGTTTTCTCCGGTTCTTTTAAGAATTGATCAAGGGCACCTCCTTGAGCTTTTTGACTAGTCCTACCTTTTCCTGGCATTCTGTGTTTGAACACGGCCCACTTCAACTGTCTGTTATAGCACTCAAGCCCTTTAAATAGAGAAAAAAAAATCTCGCGCCACTCGACACGTCTACATCGTACCCTGCACGCACCGGAAGACATATAATACACATAATATTTCCTGAGGCTATTGCTCCAGAGTCATCATATTATTTGAAAATATGTTATATTTTACAGTCTCGCAAAACTATTAAGAGTGAGCACCTGAATTATGAATCAATACAATCCTCACCCCTTAATTCCAAAAATGAAATGTTTTTTTTTAGCAGCAATAGGATATAAAATTACACTAGCATACAAAACTTCCAGTGTATTTTGAATACGGGTTTCTGCTCTATTTGAAATAGTGAAAAAAAAACACAGCTTTAAACATTTTTTTTTAAACAAAATTTTATACAATTTGAAAATAATGATATATTCTATGACGTCATTTTATGGATAAGTCTTATATATATTATGTCACCAAACGTCCAAGTAATTTGAAAAGCATCTGAAATTGAAATACTTATGTTTTCAAAATTTCACAGGTCTAAATTTAGGCCTAAAGTAAAAATTACAAATATACATACGATTCTTAAGATGGATAATTGTATCATTCAGTTTGGAAATGTCATGCTGATGGGAATTTGTCAGTGTTTGAATCTCACTCTTCATCTGTTTCTGCTGCGCATCCAAACTGGAAAGGAAAGACGATAGATGTGCTGTGATATTGTGTACGTCCAGAAGTGAAAGTGATAAATATCTGTCCCGTAGTTCCAGGTCTGTGATTGTTGAAGATACGTTTTGCATCATTTTCTGTTGACTGTCTATAATCGTCTGCTCTATTTCAAAGCTTAAGATGCTCTCCAGTCTTTGAATAATATTTTCTGGTATTGTCAAATTTTGTTGTGAAAGGGATGAAGAATTGAAGTCGTCTAGTCTTTCTCTCAAGATTTTGTTTTCACTTTCTAAAAATGAAATCTTCATTTGGGCTTTCTTAATTTCTTCCTCTAATAACTGTTGCTGTTGTTCAGATTTCTGAACTTATTGTTTCTGATCCATCATTATGGAATTTAACACGGTCTCCAGATGAAGAAGTTGTTTGTACACATCAGGATCAGAATGTCCACTAGATGCTGTGGTAGCATTGGTTTGTCCATGGAACAACAAACTCTCTGCTTTCAAAACTGTGCACAGAAGTAGTATAACCCAATGCATCTTCGTGATTTGCATAAAAACTCAAACAGACAGGATAATAAAGTGGCGTGACTTTATCTTAAAGCAAAATAAAATTATCTGATAAAAATGAAATCATGATGCTGCTAAATGATCACTGTTATATTTAACCTGTATATTAAAATTACTGGTAACCATTTATGTATATTTAAAAAAGAATAATTATTGTTAAATTTGTAAAAAAAAAAAAAAAAAAAAAAAAAAAAAAAAAACGCACCAATTCCAAAAACAATGTTCCTTAAAAAGTTAATGTGTTGGGTTAACCTATGAAAAAGACATTTCTGATCGAAATTGCTCATTTTTTATGTTAGAAAACCTTTTCAAATATCATTCCCATCTCAAGAACCACTGAGCTAAAATCAATAAAAATAGTAGCGTAAAGATTTCTTAGGTGAATTGTAATCATTTTAATTCAAATTTATGGGTCTGAACTTTCCTAGTGCGGTCAAGTCAGTGGTGTTTTCAGACCCATTTTCATGATTTTCTGTTAAGTCTAAGTTGTAAGTACTGGAAATTTATATTATCCCCCCCTACAAAATTGTTTTTTTTTTCTCATCTTTATATTGTGTGTCTGTTTAAAATATAAATGTAATTGTTACTAATACTTTTGAAAATTAAAAAAAAATCATTTAAACGTCACAAAATGGCAACACACGATAAACTGTTTTACAGACGTTTTACTCATTGAAGAAGGATAATATAAGATGTTGTAATGATGAGAGGATTATGGAAAGAAATAAGCGTAGAAATTTCTTAGGTGAATTGGAACCATTTTTATTCAAATGAAAGGACAAGTCCCATTTCAGGCAGTGTCATTAAAGGAAATTCAAGTTTGACCAATTTTCCCCCCCCCCCCACCTTTTGAAGTAAAGTGGAGCTATTGACATTATTATGAAAATTCAGTCCTTTATCTATAAAAATAAGAAATCCACTGATTAATTGAATTGAAAAAGGATCTTGCAAGCAATCTCAACGAGGTTTGCTCCTTAGCTTTCAAGCAAAGTTTTATCTTGACCTCTGTTTTAAAAATTCTACATATTAATGTTTTAGTTCTTACAATTAATTTCGATTCTATAATGCTAATTTAAAAAAAATTATTCAATCAAAACCCCATAATTAAATTTCATGCAGAAAACATTTATGGAGGAACTATATTTTATGGCGGTATTTTTTTTAGAAGAAGAAACCTTACAAGTTTGACAGACCGGAGATGTACAGTGCCACCAATTGATAAAACTATATCTTTATTGCGCACAAAAAATACATTTTTTTCGGTGGGTGGTGCTGTAGCTCTCCGGTCGGTCAAATCAATATATTTTTTTCGTAGAGCTACAGTTCTGCAGCTAGAAGGATTATGAATATAACCGCTAATACTTCAGTTAACACCTCTTCTTTGTTAAGAAGTGTGAATGTACTGGTTGGCAAAACTATTTAAAGAAAGGCTTCAAGTTGGTAGGTTTTACATTTTAACATAGTACGATAGTCATTATAATTACGAGTAAAATGATATACAGTACACCTACTATCTCTCTCGCTGCTCAAAGATATTGCTAAAAATAGCTTAGTTTACACATGCATGAGAGCTCACACAAATGACATCACAATAGCCTTACTGTAGAAATAATTTTTCATGCCCTGTTCACACGGGGAATTTAATTTGAATTAAATGTAAGTTACTGTGAATTAGCTTAGCGTTCACACGGAGAATTTAATGCGAATTAGTTTAACTTGAATTAATTTACTGCGAATTAAGTTACTGCGCATTAACTCCGTGTGAACGATAAGCGAAGCTAATTTGAGTTCAATTTTGACGCATGCAGAAGGCCAGAATTAAGTCACAGGACACATTTTGGTGGTTTGATATAGGTCTCTGTGCTATATTTGGTTCAAAAATAAAGGAAAAGTATGTTAATTTCCAACTGTATACCTGTAGCCACTATGATAAAACAAATGGATGGCCATGCATACATGACGTGATTTACAAATGACGTCAATATCCTTACTGAATAGCCTTTTTTGTAGAAATAAAATTTTAATTCACATTAGTTAACTTCACTTTAGCTGTCGTGTAATTCGCATTATAATTTACATTAATTTACTGCGAATTAAACGCTCCTTGTGAACAGGACATTAATTTGTAGTAGTTTACTTTGCATTACCTGACATGGGAATGTAATTTAATTCGCATAAGCTTGATTCGCATTACTTTACTTCACAATAATTTATTGCGAATTAAACTTTCCATGTGAACAGGATATAATAAATCAATGCACAATAAATGCAATCCATAAATGAAAGATGTTTTATAAATTTGAAAAATCCACCAAGATACTCTATAGGTAACTAATTTAATTAACTAGACACAGGTTTCTCTGTTATGCAATTTCAATGTTCCAAATCATGAATAGAATTGCATTCTAAGGTCTTGTGTATCTTTAGGTGTTCAGTCCAATGTAGCTTTTACAGCTGGAATCCTAATACAGGTACAGTTAAATTCCCAGAAGTCATATACCAGGAGGAGGAGGATACAACCCTACAACAGGAATATTTACCGCCCCAAAGGCTGGACTCTACCTCATATTCTGTACTATTGTAGCATATTTTCATGAAATCTTCTGGACATATATAAAGATAAATGGTTCAGTTATGACAGGAGTCATGACAAATGTTGAATCAACTTCTATGTTAGTCCATCAGTCAGCCTCCAACCTTGTTGTCCACCAGTTACAGGTGGAGGGACAGAGTCTGGGTACAAGAACGCAGTGGTAGTCATCTGTACTCAAACGTCTCAGAAACAACTTTTTGTCATCATGATCAATGAATAAGATTAATAATATCTTGTTAGTGATGACTTTCATTGATATATGTGTTTGAACACCTTCTTCACACTGCAGAGATCAAGAAAAAAAATAATTTTTCTCAATTTAATAATTACAGAAATTTAATGATCTACGAATGAACACTCTTTTCACAGTATATCATACTGATACCTCTCATATCAGAATGATAATGAATAATTATTTTATAATCAGTCTTTATCTTCTAAATTCACCAGTTCAAACGCACATAAATTAATTATAAATAAAACTCAAAAGCACTTTATATAGGATGAGCTCGCATGCGCGAATGCAACAGACTTTAATAACTTCTATAATACATATCATTCTACCAAAAAAAAAGATTCAAATAAATCGACAAGTCAACATTAATTCGAAAAATATGTACGAAATATGGATACTGGAAGGGGTGGATGGGGCGGGGGATTAGTCTGTTGCAATGTAGCAGCGAACTTCGAATGACTTAAAACACCCAAAAATCTACCTTATATGTGACTAAATCATGCGTAGCACGGATTCAACCTAATCAGCCATAAACAAATGAACAACCAATAGATCTTCTTTACCGATGGACTCAATCTACATAAAAAAGCACACACGTTTTACCATAACTTTTATGAATATATTTATCAATTAAAGATATTTCATTATATGCAGTTCAATTTAATTATGATTAGAACCGTACCATAGTTTTCATATGATGTTTAGAAGTTGCTTGATTGTAACTCAATCTGATATTCATGTATAAATAAAATTTAGGTATGCCTGCTGTCCTTTCAGTTTTTCTTTCCACGTCATGATAGATTATCTCGACATAGGTTTTGATGCGTATGATCATTGATGCATACACTTTCACAGGAAATGTTAGATCTGTGGTTCCATTGGTCACTAGGCTAAATTGTACAGAAATCAACAGGTATAAATTTATACAACTCTTTATCAAATGCAATAAATTTTGAAGATGGATAAAATAAAATTAATTGCAATAAACATCAACATCGTTATATTTTTTTTAATATTAAATAGCATGAGTTCAAAAGAGAGGGGGAATCTGAAACTGTTACAAAAGATAAAAGACAATAAAGAATTATATTTTTTCTGCCCATAATATTGAGAGTAATACGGTAATTTTTGGAGTACTTGAGCAGAAGTTATCTCTTAAAAATCTAGATAAATATTGACTTCATCTACTTCAACGTCAATCATACAAACTAGTCAATACCAACTTTAAACCGCACGTCTTATTTATATACATATATATTAAATTTGACTGAAAAGGCATACGTTTTGCAGCAGATTTGTCGCTTTGAACAGTTAATATTAGCTACAGCTTTGTTTTGTTTGAGCACATAGTGTGTAACCGGTTGACAGGGGATGCTTACTCCTCCATCACACCTGAACCTATCTCTGATTTCATGTGTCTGTGTAGGAACCGCTCTTAAAACATTTTTGTTATGTAATCCTTTGTGTTTTAGTACATTATATGGCATAATAGATTAGGATATTTAAAACCTGTACATTAAGTCACCTGTAACCGTACATTAAGTTGTCAAAACTCTCAATTCTTAACTTAATCGACAGCGTTTTGTCAACTTAATGTACAATTAAAGGTAACTTAATGTACAGGTTTTAAATGTTGAAAACAATACATAATTAAGTAGGCAATTAAATTTTTAATTTAATGCACGATCATGCATAAATATCAAACAATTGTACAAGAAATGTTCAACAGTATATTATCTTTGGAAATGACAAATCCAATGCAAAGAAGACACGTGTAAATCCTGATGCTTAATAACTCTAGAACATCCACATCCAGAAGTTTCTTTATTGAAAAACAAACGTCTCATCCTCATCACAAAAAATGAATGCTGGACGTCGTAGATCCATACCATGAATGTTTAAAATATATCCAAGAGTAATTTAAATTTAAAAAGAAAAAGGCTTATTTCCAGATGAAATGATAATCTCACTAGATGCACTGCAGGTGGAATCATTTTTGGGACAGAGATCACAAATTTTATCTTTTCATACACTTGCTATCATCTGAATCCCTCTTATTTCAATGAATTATTCCAATTACTCTCTGCTGCTATTTATTGTTGGTTCAATTGTAGGATCAA